TTCACAAAAATGCAAGGAAGAAGAAAAGAGGATTGAGGAAATCTAAAAGAGACATAATAGACCATATCAACCAAACACAATACATAACCCATATTAACATTCTAATTCAAACCAGCCAACTACACAAAATGTTGTTAGATAATTGAGGATATTTAAATATTGCCTGGATAATTTAATGCTATTAATGGATTATTTAGGTGTGATAATGGTATTGTGGTTACATTGATAGGAATCTTCTTTTTTATAAACGGGGTCTTGCTATGTTGCCCAGGCTGGTCTTGAACTCCTGGCCTCAAGTGATTCTCCCACCTTAGCCTCCCAAAGGATTGGGATTACAGGTAGGAGTCACTGCACCCAGCTCACTGATGGAATTATCTTTTAGAGAAATATTCAAAAATATTTATGAATACAATGATACAATATCTGAGATTTGATCCAAAATAATTCAGTGGGGAGAGGACTGTCAGAGGATAAAGATGACGCAAGGTTGGCCCAGACTAGAATTAAATAGAGGTTAATTACAGTAATCTCTTTAAACTTAAAGAAAATATGTCTTATACATAATGACATGTGTATCTTAAGATACATAATATACATTATGTCGTATTTCAAACAATGCTTATATTTTCTTTCAGTTTACAACCTATACCTTGAATAACAAATAATAGTCCCCTTAATTTTAGGAACTACTGGTCATAAATACGCCCTTATATATAGACGTCTATATACATAGCAAAAGCACAGTCTTTGACAAACAGGAAATCTCTTAGGCTACGTTTAATCTTATTGTTCTCTTTGCCTGAATTTGGGAGTAAACTGCTTCACTGGCTAAGAAAATCATAACGGTCCCAAAATACTATTAATTACTGATTTCAATAAACATATCCCTACGCGCTAAGAACAATTAAGAAAATGAAGTCCATGCTCAGGTAAAGCTGACAATGTTAAGGTAGCTGAGTAACAGGGAACTAATATTTAACTGAATTTATACTGGACTCTCAAATCCTTTTCCTTTTTCTACTCTAATTTGTGTTTTGGATGGGGCAAATTTTGGTATTGTTAGCAGTCACCTATGTAAGCTCTTTGCAGGTGGGTGTATATAGAATCAATTAATGCTTAAAATACATTACAGGGCCGGGCGCGGTGGCTCAAGCCTGTAATCCCAGCACTTTTCGAGGCCGAGGCGGGTGGATCACGAGGTCAAGAGATTGAGACCATCCTGGTCAACATGGTGAAACCCCGTCTCTACTGAAAAAAAAAAAATACAAAAAAATTAGCTGGGCATAGTGGCGCGTGCCTGTAATCCCAGCTACTCAGGAGGCTGAGGCAGGAGAATCGCCTGAACCCAGGAGGCAGAGGTTGCGGTGAGCCGAGATTGCGCCATTGCACTCCAGCCTGGGTAACAAGAGCGATACTCCGTCTCAAAAAAAAAAAAAAAAAAAAAAATCCATTTGAATAATTTCAGTGATTACATGAAAAAAATAGCCAGAAAAGCTTTTTTGTAGAAATTATGAGGTGACATTAACAATTAGAATAAGGTTACTATTTAGACTGCAATCAGATGTTAAAGTGGAAAGAAATTTCTGAGCATTTTTCCTGAAAGCTGGGGAGGTCTGAGAACCATGACTCCCCCACACTTCCAATAAAATGTGGTGAAGGACTGGTACAAAATCTTAAAAGCCACCATTTGCTAAATCTCCCCGCCAGCCTTGTTAGTCCTTACCGCCATTTGATTCCATTATTTTTCTCGTGGTTTCTGCTGTTTCTCTAAATTTTCTAACGGCCGTTATTAAGTAAAAATGAAAGGAAGGGGGCCGTGTGATCTAGGCAGCTTGGAGATGAGATTTGGGAATCATCAGCTGCATTCCAATATATAAACAGATTTTATTCATTTTGGATACTAAAAGTACACAGAATCGGGACTGTAGAATGTTACCGTCGTACTAGAGGACACCTGCCTGGGATTTGCTGGCAATCGACGGGCTCCTCTGCTTGCAGCCTTCAGCCAGACGCAGGGGACCCTAGTCCAGCTGTTCCCGGACCTTGTCTCCTCTCCAGGGGCCACCACCTCCCCCACTCCTGTAGACCAGGACCTTCTGACCTGAGGATCCGCGGAGAGCTAGTCCTTGGGACAGCCTGCGTCCCCCTGCCCGCTCGTTTCTTGGACCTTCACTGCAGGCCCGCGCAGCCCAGCTTGTGGACACATTTCAGGCTGCCAGGATCCAGCGCGGGGCGACGAAACGGATAGCGGGATCAAGACTCCGGAGAGGAATTCCGGCTTCCCGGGGTGGCGCAGAGCACCGAGCTGCCCCACTCCACCGCCTTGGGAAGGCGGCTGGAATTAGGAGGTGGCTGCGGGCCCGCAGGGAGTCCAGGGGAGAGATCCCCGGTACTGCCGGCGCCTACGTTGAGGGTGCCTGGGTTCCTGGGGACCACGAGAGGAAAAAGAACGAAAATCACGCCAGGGAGGAAGCACGCAGAGTGCTCCTTTGTGAAGCGGAGTGCTCTGGGCTGACGAGGACCTGGGCGCGGCCGGGGGGAGTCTGGCGGCGCGGTTCCCACGCTCCGCAGAGGCTTCCAGGAAAACCCACAGCCCGGGCGCGGGGGTAAGGACCTGATCGAGCGCATCTTTCGACGCGGCTGGGTCTCAGGGAGAGAAATGCGCTTCCTGGCGCCGGGGCTCGTGGGACAGAGGCCAGGAGGAAGAATCCGGGGCCTTGGGCTTCGACCCCTGAGACCCGCGAGAGGCCCTGGCAGCAAAGGGTGGCGTGCGCGCGTGGAGTTAGTGGTTCAGAAAGCAAACCCGGCAGGGTGCTACTGCCTGAGCGTCCTCGGGCGAGTTTTTAATTTTTCCGAGTTGCCTATTCCTAGTCTGGAAAATGGAGAATTCTACAGTGTCTTCTTCAGAGAGTGCTCTGGGAGTGCTAAAGGAGGATCCCGTGCCTGGCACACCGGGAACAGCAGGGAAACGGTTGGCCAATATTATTATTATTAGAGTTATCAGCAGGCAGGACTGTGTGTGTGTGTGGGGGGGGGGGGGTCACTTCTCCCCAGTTTTCCTTCTGTCCCTGTCCCAGCCTCCCTCGCGCCTCCCAGCCCTTCGCGCGCGGCTCCAGCTCTTCGGCTCCCCTCCCTGTGCAAGTCCAGGCTTGGCTATCAGCCAGTCCTCCAGAAGATGATCCCCAGGGTGGAAGACCACCCTCGACCCTCGACCCTCGACCCTGGACTCTTCGCGCAACTTGCAAGCGCCATGGTTTTTAAACCCGGCCTCAGGGTTACAGAAGCCCGGGATCAGGGAGGCGTCCGGGGGGTCCGTGCAGAACCACGGGGACCCGGCCTGGGATCCAGAGTACCGCTTCTTGCTCTGTGCCTTCAGAAAGGCGGCCGGTCCTGGTCAACGCGCCAGGCACTACGCGCCTCAGGGACGTGCCCACGCCTAGGGGAGCTTCGGCGCCTCCACGACGCCTGGGCTGCCCCGGTGTTGGTGCTCAGTGTTGTTGGCCGGTTCGTAGGTGCGCCAGGCGACCTTCCCTTTCCGCGAGGGAACTCCCAGCGGGTCACACCAGAAGGCCGGATCTCTCCTCGCCGCCTGGGTGCTTCCAAACAGGAATTTACTCCGCCACTGAATCGATTGTTTAAAGATTCATCTTTGGATATGGTTTCATCAGGTAAAAATTAGGAACTGGAAGGCCGGCCCTGGCCGGGGTCTGACCCTCAGTCACCCATGTTCGAATTTTCTTGGCAGTGTTGGTCTTGCCTCGGGCAAGGGAAGGAAGAAAATAAGGAGGATGCCAAGAGAGCTTAGAGAAAGTCCTTTCTGGGTTCAGCGGCCGGCTGTAGCCTCACTCCCAGGACGTTTGTTGACTGAGTAAAAGAACGAAGGTCGGCCTGGAAAGTTTCGCACAAAGGGCAAAGGGGAGTTGGAACTTGAACCGGAGAGAATGTGGCATTAAATAGGACCCCTCTATTATCAGTTTGTTTCCAAACTCTTAAACTGCTCCAGCCTGGCCGAATTTGCTGAAGTAGTCTATCTTGGACGCTGGTGGTGCTCGGGGCTGATGGCTACCTGTGCAAAGAGGGAAGAATTGGAAGCTGGAGTAAGGGCGGCTACCAGGGGTGGGGCTTGGGAACTTTCCAGAACGTCCTCAAAACCGCAGGAGCCGGGAGGAAATCTCCCGTAGGGGATCTTAGGTAGGGCAAGAGGATGGGAGGGAGAAGAGAAGCCGTAGTAAAAATTGGCCACTTAGACTACTGCAAAAATGTGGGTCCCCAGGTTCGTCCTCCCTCCTGGAATAAGAAATTCATAGCTGAGGGTGGGAAGTAGATGTGGGTTGGGGGAGCAACTTTCTCACATTCACAGAGCGGCTTTCCTCCAAGTGGCACGGAATTGGGAACCCTACTAAGGACTGGGAAAACGGCTGAGTTCCTAGAAATGTGCTTCCTTCCTGGGGAGCAATTCGTGATGGGCGTTCTTGTCTGGTTTCCCCCATCCCGGTCCCCTGACTCCGAATAACACTTAAACCTTTCTAGTTGCAAAGTCATTTCAGAAGATTTTTAAATAAGTTTTGAAAATTCTAGTGCTTTAATATATATATATATATATATATATATATATATATATATATAGCCTTTTATTTTCTCTAGTAAACGTTGACCATTACATTCCAAATTGATCTGAAATGGTTTTCCAGCTTGTTGGGGTCGACGGGTGGCAGAAATCAGCGTCTTTATAAAGATGAAAAAATAAATAAAGAATATATTTACATGCCTTCCCATTCTTTTCTTCTGGAGGTCTGGTAAATAGTAAATTTCCTATTTTAAAAGCCAAGACTTTTTCAACCTCAAATATTTGGAATTTTTAAAGGCCATATTAAAGTGGATTACTTTTGATATGTATAATAAATATGAATTGTGAAAAATAAACTGAGAAAATAACATAGGTTTTAAACAAGCTCCATTTTAGAAAGGGAAGAATGAGACGTAATAGAAAATAAACGATGTAGTGTAGTGACTTAGCATTTTATTTCGTCTATATAACTAGGCTTAATTTTAATACCTTAATTTTAACATGAAAGATGGCACGTCAGTCACACAGATATCAATGTTCTGAAATTAACAACCCACTTACATTACACATCCCTATCAGGAAGACACAGAGGGCACAAGCATTTTGCACTTAGGAATAATACTTCCAGTTCCAAGGAAGTGAAGAAGGGGGAACATGTTTGGCGTTGGAGACTGTGTTTTTTGTTTGCTTGCTTGTTTTTCTTTTAATACCAGAACAAAATACCCCACTGACTTTCATAGTTCCCCAGGAAATGTGCAAATCGGGAAAGCTGTGGAAACCACAGCTGAAGGCAAGAAAAGATGATTTGACGCCCTCCGAAGTTTACGTTCAGGTGGTCTTTAGAGGAATGGAATCCAGCTGTTCCTTTCTAACCATTTTGCAGCAAACAGAAGTTTGTGTTTGCTCTGCAGCGCGATTCAGATGCACAGGCCTAATCTCGGTCGCGCAAGGTGGAGTGAGCAGCTGCAGGTCGCTCCGCCCTCCCACCTAGCTCTTGGAACGCCCTGCGGAGTTGGCCAGGGAACTGGGCGTGGGTGCTACTCAAAAAGCCGGTGAGGTCCCTTCTCCGCCCAAAGGGACAGCCAGCGAAGTCAGCCTAGAGCCCTCTGCCACTGCCTGATACCTAAGCAGCGCCGAGGCGGCCGACAGGTTCCCTCCCAGCACCGCGCCCTTGGTGGGAGCGCAGCCGTCGGCGCAGACTTCCTCCTCCTGATGCTGCTGCTGTTGCTGCAAAACTGTCCGAGCAGCGGCGGCGGCGGAAACGTGCAGCAAAGGGGCAGCGGTCTGGGGATGCAATGGGCATGATGGGCGCTGCAGCAGGTGGCAGTAGCTCCACGGGGTCGGGGACAAACTCTGCGCAGCCCCTGTACCGCCTCCCCTGACCCCTTGCATAATACTCTCAATGCTGAAAGAGATGCATCCACCTTCTGGTCGCGGCGCGGGACATTTGCCCTCCTCCCAAGGCTGGGGACCTAGCGAGGGCTGCAGAGCCGAAAGGGTGCCAGGGGTCACCAGGTCCGCGCCTTTTACTTTCCCCGGTGCCTCTGCATAGGCGGGGGTCGGGAGCAGTAGGTGGCGAAGAGGATGCGGGTGCAGCAGAGCGCACCGGCGTCTCCCAGGCGCGGCGGTGGAGTAGGCCCCCGGGACAAGCTGCGGCGGGGCAGGGGCCCCAAGCAGAAGGCCCGGGTGGGGGTTGTGCAGGGCGGCAGGAGCAGCTGGTAGAGGGAAGGGGTGGGGTAGGTGGTGGGCTCTCGAGGTCGGTTGGTGGCGCTTGAAACGCTTCCTGCGCCGGAGAAAGCTGCCATTGTCGAACATGTCCTGGGAGGCGGGGTCCAGGCTCCAGTAGTTGCCCTTGCCTGGGTGGCCCGGCTCGCGGGGGATCTTGACGAAGCAGTCGTTCAGCGAGAGGTTGTGGCGGATGCTGTTCTGCCAGGCGGGGAACTTGCGGCGGTAGTAGGGAAAGCGGCCGCTGATGAAGGCGCAGATGCCGCTGAGCGTGAGGCGCTTGTGCGGGCTCTGCAGGATGGCCATGGTGATCAGCGCGATGTAAGAGTAGGGGGGCTTTGCCGGCTGCGGGGCGTCTCCAGAGGCCGCCGCATACCTCGGCGGTATCCTGAACTTGGTGCCAAAGTCCGAGGGCTCGCTCCGGCCGCCGCCGCCCTCGTTGCGCTCTCTGGGAAGCGAACCCCCGCCCCGCCGAGCCACCTGCAGCCCCGGCTGGGGCTGCTGCTCTAGGAACTGCTGGCTTGCCTCCTCCTCGTCGTCTTCCTCCTCGTCTTCATCTACCTCCTCTCTCAGGACATTGATTTTACCGTTTTTCCCATCCGAGTCCCGGAGGCTGCGCTGCAGTGTGGAGGGAAGGCGCTCAACTCTTGGCAAGTCCATGGAGGAGCAGGTTCTTCGGTCGCAGGGGATGCGGCTGCCGATCACCTGGCCTGGGGTGGGCTGGGCTGGAAGCCTGGGATGAATGTTGCAAGAACACTAGTGGTTACCCTTTGGGATGTTTTCGTCTGCTTGTTTCTACTCCTTTCCAACAACGTCCAGCAAAGTATGCACGTTGTCTTTTATAAAAGCTTCTTCAAGACCATGTGTGGTGGACTCCCCCTTTATAATCCTTCTTCCCCTACCTCGGAGCGGGGCCACTTCCTCCTGACGCAGTCCAATGATGAGGGTCTGCTGGGCAAATACTCGACCTGATAAAAGCCCAGACCCCTCCTCCTTGCACCCACCTGCCACCAAGGAAGATGCTCCATTCGTCCAGCGCAGCAAGCTAGTTGGCCAGGCTTTGCACGGGTTCTGTTAAGGCGCAATTAAAACCGCGCAAATAAAAACGAGGTAGGAAAGTATGATACTCAACAATCTATGACCACTTAGACATGCAGCTTTTCTCTCCTGGAGAAAAGAAATGGCGGCTGGGCGGGCAGGAGGCGGGGAGGCTGAAATGTGCACGGTGGTTTGTAAAGGAATGTGTAGACGTGAAAGTACGTTTTTGTGTTTCACAGCTGGGTAATTACCCATTTTCTTTGGTAGAGTCTGTCCTTATCCAGAATGGTGAGCTGAATGATATTTAAGGGTCTAAAAACATTCCCAAGCTGAATGGGGGGTTTGAGGCGGCGGAGCGGGGGGTTGCTTTGCCCCTTTTACCTTTTTCCTCTCCTCCCCAAGATGCTTTCCGACTCAAATTTTCAAAAAGGTTGAATGTCTTAGCATTAAGCTGTGCAAGTTCATTCAGGGAAGGCAGAAGAGCTCACGTGGAGTCCTCTGTCCCCTTATAGTAATGGTTCTCCAACTTCTTTGAATATTTAACCACAGTAAGAAATGCATTTTATATCACAATCTTGCACATACAGACATACGTATCTAAGATGGGTTTCACAAAACAATATAATTACACTATAGTAATTACCGATATTTCTTTTTTTAAAAAATGGTCATAACCAACTAAACTGATTTCACATGTACCAGTATGGGCCCAGTTTGAAAAAATGCTGTTCTTACAAAATGGCTCCACATAGAAAAGATACACCCAGTCTATAATGGCTTCTCTCTTCCTCCCTTCCTAATCATTTCATTTTTAGAGACAAGATTTATGTTGCCCAGGCTGGCTTTGAATTCCTGGGCTCAAGTGATCCTCCTGCCTCAGTCTCCTGAGTAGGTGGGATTACAGGCACACACTACTCTGCCTGGTTCTGGCTCTTCCCTCATTCTGTTAGAAGTGCCAACATTAAGTGCTTTTATTGTAATGATAAAACTAGGAACTTCAATGAGGCAAGAAGGGGCTGCAGTGTTGTCTTTAAATCAGTGGGTTCTCATTCACTATCTGTACTGGGGAGGGGTAATATGGCAGGAGAATTGTTCCACTTACTCAATATCCTTAGAAGTAACATGATTTTTAGATTGGCTTCATTTAAATTAGCTCAGAGTCTAAAGTAGCACTACAGAGGAATAAAAATATTTGTTATATAAATAAGAATCTTATTAGAGTACAAAGTAAGATACTATGTCACAGTATATATTCATAATTTAAAACCTACCTACTTGGGAAAAATTTGGGGTGCCATGTAATAAAAATGCAGCACAAAATATGCCATTGATTGTCACATAGTGTCTGTAATTATGACAATGAATGTTCAGTGAGAAATCAGAAGCCAACTACAAGGGCAAAATATAACAAAAAATAGCTTAAATGAGCTAGTGCCTTCAGGATAAAATATGGAAAACAGCTTTCTTGCAAATCTTCTTTTAAAACTTATGTCTTCTCTGCTCCTGAAGTTTTTACCCTTTAAGGCACCTCAGTTTATATGCAGCTTGGAGGACAAGCAACAGGCAGGTCTGAGCCTAACAGATTTGTTTGAATCCCAAATTTACCAATGACTACTTGTGTGACCTACTAAACTAAGCTCCAGGAGGGCCAGGACAGGTGTCTTATTCAACCACAATAATCCCAGATGTCTCCTCCCCAGCCCTCTGCGGGTGAGTCACATTTCTTCCATCAGCATAGGAATTGGATGACCTGCAGCATTGTTAAGTTTTTCTAGCCCCAACTTCTATAGGGATTGGAGTTATTTAAAAATGAAAGGAGAAAAATAAGGAGGTACTCAAAAACAAAACGAAACACAAAACCCACATTGATGGGGCTATGTCAAAGGGGGAACAGGAGAAAACTGAAAGAGTTCCCAATGGCCAAAGCTGGGATAATTTGAGTAACAAAATATAGAATTAAAATGTAACCCAAAGTATAAAATATTCATGTGTCCACACTGATCAACATAAATGACTGAATCAATGAACAAGGGGAAAGAGACAACTCTCCCTTGAGAAAGAATTTCGATTAATTATGTAGCCACTCCACTCCCCAAAAAGTAGACTACAACTCCCCATTCTTTAGTGTGGGCAGAACATAGTGATTTCCTTCCAAGCCCAGTATGAAAAAGGGGGTAAAAAGTAACTTTACAGTGGAGAAACCTGATAAACACCCCTTCAGCCAGGTGATCAGGTCATCAATGTCAACATCAATAGTCATAAATCATGGTAACAGCATATACCCTTGGTATGATGTGATGAAAATGGTACTCCGTGATTTTTCTCCAAAAACCCCTAATCATGAGGAAAACATCAAATTCCAACACAGGAGCATCTTGCGCACCTGACCAATATGCTTCAAAACTGTCAAGTTCATCAAAACAAGGAGATTCAAAGGGATTGTCACAGCCAAGAGGAGTCGAAGGATGTATGACTATTACATGTAACATGGTATCCTAAATGAGATTCTGGAACACAAAAATGGTAATATGTTAAAAACTCAGGATATCTGAATAAACTGTGGGCTTTCATAATAATGTGTCAATATTAGTTCAATAATTGCAACATAAATGTCCCATGCTATTATTTTGTTAGTGTGTGTAGGGGGGAATAGATGAAAACTCAGTACTATCTGCTCAATTTTTCTGTAAATCTAAAACTGTTCTAAAAACACATTCTATTAATTTAAAAAAATTAAACATGGGTGGGGAAGAACCTAACAGCCCAGAAGAAGAAACTCAAGTGTCCATCTGATGATGAATGGATAAACAAAATGAGGTATATCCATATAATGAAATTTTTTCAGCAGTAACAGTGAAGTACTGACACATGTCACAACATGGATCAATCTTGAAAACATTATGTTATGTGAAGGGAGTCTAAATAGACAAATCTATAGAGACAGAAAGTAGAGTGGGGATGGGGGCAGGGGAAAACAGCAAGTGACTGCTAAGAGATTCAGGGTTCCTTTTGAGGTGATGAAAATGTTCTGGAATTAGGCACTGGTCATAGTTGTGTACAGTAGATAGACTCAACAGTGGATATACTAAAAATCATGAATTGTACCCCTTAAAAATGAAAAATTTTATGGTATGTGAATTATATCTAAATAAAGTCGTTATACCAAATATATCAATATAAAAACAAAGAGCTGTAGCAATGAAAAGTAAGTTGAATGCTTTGGAAAGAATCCATAATGGCACATTACCCTAAACAAGAAAAAAGAAGAAAGGAACCCTTACTGTCCTATTCCATCAATTCCATAGTGTTGCCTTAAGAAGCAAGTCTTATTTTGTAGCTCCTGCAACACTTAACACAGGGCCTCATGCATAGTGGGCAGTCAATAATGTTTTGGTTACTTCTAAGGTTGAATAGTAGGTTTTGTTTTGTTTTTTGTTTTTCAGAACAAACATATCAGGGGTTCATAAGATGTCCTCTGGTTTCAAAAACAAACCTTTCTAAATTAATCTACAAGAAGGATGATGATGTTTTGTTTCTATTTCAACCCAAAAATTAAACACAATTTGGTCATCAGAGTTAAAGGTAAGGTTGATTCTAATATTAAGATACATTCTGAGAACTCTACCATATCTCTCCTCATCAAAGCAGGGTGAGTTTCTGGACATTTGAAGGTAGAATTCACTTTTTTCCCATATCAACTGTACTAATGTATACATTTCTAAAACTGGGAAAGTCATTTCAAAGCAATTTAAAAATAAATTTTCCCTACCTATACCAGTAATCCAAAGGAAACAATTATTCAATTTGTAGAAAGCAGCTAAGCCCATAATGTTACAAAGTACTGATCACTATTGCTTTAAAATAATGCTTTTAGTTTACTTTGTTGATAGTTGCCTTCAAAATTCACTATCTAGGGATTATAGACTCTAGGAAAAAAGATACTTTTGTTTATTCTCAATTTTTACCGAAAAATCTGTAAGAAGACTAAACAATCAAAATACTATATATGTTTGAAGCAAGCACTCAGAAAAAGAACTCTGGGTAGCAAGAAAGTAAGATAATTAAAAGCCCTTTGGGTGCCAAGTCTGCTTAGCAGTAACAAGAGAAAATGAGCTATTTGGAGGGTCTTTTCTAACCCACACATTATTGATAGCTGCTGAGAGAGGGAAAACTGAAAGGCCTCAAGCTCTTTTACCAAAGTGACGCTTTCAATCACCTGGTCTTCCCCTGCACCTTGTGCTGACGCTCCCTACAGCTATCTTAAACTCAGTACCAATTTTCTTGCTCCTTTCACTCACAGCTGGTGAAAGCCTCAGAAAGACCCATTTGTTTTAAGGTGTGCAGAAGACTGAATTGCACATCAAGCCTTGCTGGAAAAGGGAAATCCACATTTGTTGAGACTCTCTGTATTCAGGGTGCCTTAAATTTGATCGCTGGAACAATTCAGAGAGATGTGTATTTGTTATCCCCATTTTATGAATAAGGAAGCAAAGGCTCATAGATTTAATAATTTATTTTGTATCCCTCAGTAAACCATAAAGTTTTGGATGAAACCTTCATCATCATCATCATCATCATCATCATCATATCCTGCAAGTCTTCTATAGCAAGCAAAATAATGGCCCACATTATTGTCATGATTCCATTATAAAAATAAACCTTCTCTTCAGGATATCTATATTAAGTTCCAAAATCTCCTGAAGGTATAGGTTAAATATACTATGGCTATGATCATTGGAAAATACTTCATTTTGAAAAAGATAAGAATAATGAACAGTACAATGCACACTAAAAATATATAAACATTAAAAATCACAGTTTAAAAACCAAAATAAAATAGTGAGATCCTGATTGGCAAGAGTTAAAATGTGCTAGTTGGGCTTGGAAAAACAGGGATTTTCCTACACTACTATATGAAGGCTAAAAGTTCAGTTGCCTGGAATGGCCATTCATCAGTATCTATTAAAAATCTTAAATGTGCATATTTTAGAAGCTGGTGCTTTCACTTTTATGTACCTACCTATTCTAGAGAAACATTCACACCTAAGAACAAAGAGGCACACACAAGATTCGTTCACTGAAGCACTATTCCAGATTTCAAAAACAGAAACAACTGGTTGATCTGCCACAGCAATCACGCTCACATCACTTCCCCAGCTTAAAATCTCTCAGTCACTTCGCAGGGCATCAAAAATAATCCAAATGTTGACTCTGTCCTACCAGGAGCAAGAAACCTGGCCCGGCTCATAACTCCAATTTTATCTCATATCCTCACTTTCTAACCCTCCACCACCTTTGCCTTCTTCCTGGTCTCCCAACACACTATGCTGGTGCCCAACTAAAGGGCCTTTGCCCTGTATGCTCCCTCTGCGTACAGCCTCCTCCCCTACTATGTATGAATTACGACTTCTTTTAGTTCTGTTATCAACTTAACAGTCACCTCTCCTGAGAGAGGCCTTCCAGGACCACTCAATCTAAAGTTGATCTTTATTTTTATTAGCCAGCTTAAAGCTACCTTCTATTTTTTCATTTATTTATGTCACTCCACCAGAATACAAGCAATATGAGAAGCTGCCCTTTATCTGTTGTGTGCAGATTCACCCCTAGAACTAATATGAAGGCAAATGAAGCTCTCAATAAATGGTTTTAATACAATGAATGTATTCTACGCTAAACTACAAATTTTCACTCAGTAAATCATAAGACGGATTTATATGTACTATAATGAAAAGACCTAAGACTAACAGTTAAGTTTGCTTTGTTTTTGAAAGAAACTGAATTATAATACATTTTTAAAATGTTTTAGCCGGGCGCGGTTGCTCACGCATGTAATCCCAGCACTTTGGGAGGCCGAGGCGGGTGGATCACGAAGTCAAGAGATCGAGACCATCCTGGTCAACACGGTGAAACCCCGTCTCTACTAAAAATACAAAAAATTAGCTGGGCATGGTGGCGCGTGCCTGTAATCCCAGCTACTCAGGAGGCTGAGGCAGAATTGCCTGAAACCAGGAGGCGGAGGTTGCAGTGAGCCGAGATCGCGCCATTGCACTCCAGCCTGGGTAACGAGCGAAACTCCGTCTCAAAAAATAAAAATAAAAATAAAATGTTTTAAAACACATACATATTATAAAAATTAAAACCTTCCCTTGAAGATCTCTATGGCAAGCTTCTGTGTTTCCTGAAGCAGCAGCCTGAACTACAGCTCTGATCATTGAAAAATAATTCACTCTGGGAAACATGATGTGAAAGTGAAAAGAAATGTCTTAAAAAACAGAACTTCGGCTTAGTCCTAAAAAGTGATGGGAATCATTTTTACAAGAAAAATATATTTATGTACTACTTACATAATTAAAAATATTTAAAGATTAATTTAATACATTTAAAAGCAAGTTTATCCATCCTTCGTCCCACATGTGGCCCAGGATGTCTTTGAACATGGCCAAATACAAATTTGTAAACTTTCTTAAAACATTATGAAATATTTTTGATTTTTTTTTTTTAGCTCATCAGCTATTATTAGTGTTAGTGTATTTTATGTATAGCCCAAGACAATTATTCTTCTCCCAGTGTGGCCCAGGAAAGTCAAAAAATTGGACACCCCTGTTTTAAAGGAAAAACAAATATATTTATCAGTTTATAAATACAGGTTTTCAGGAGCACAGATTAATATTATATCAAATATTTCTCCTACAAGAGGACAACTACTTATAAGCTCTTTCATGGTCTAGAACAACAGTTCTAGACACTTACTGGTTTGCCAAAGAATATTAAGTATTGTTGTGACTACAGTTAATTATAAAACAAATTTATCCCAGCACTTTGAGAGGCTGAAGCGGGTGGATCACCTGAGGTCAGGAGTTTGAGAGAGCCTGCCCAACATGGCAAAACCCTGTCTCTACTAAAAATACAAAAAATTAGCAAGGCATGGTGGCAGGCACCTGTAATCCCTACTAGAGAGTCTGAGGCAGGAGAATCACTTGAACCTGGGAGGCAGAGGTTGCAGTGACCCAATATTGTGCCACTGCACTCCAGCCTGGGTGACAAGAGCGAAACTCAGTTTCAAAAAACAACAAAAAAATTTAACTTGTTAGCACGAAGAAAGCATTTACCTAGGCTCTGCTATGTGCCAGAAGCCGAGCTGGGTGCATTACAAACCTATTTAATCCTTGAATGGTGTTACTATCATTTCCCCTTTATAGGTAAGGAAAGTAATCTCAGGTAGAATAAATATAACACTTTGCCCATGATTACACAGCTAAGAAGCAGAAAAGCTGGAATTAAAGCCCAGATCTTACTTGAAAATCAGCTGGCTTTCTATTGTGCAATTTGCTGCCACAAAATAAGTGTATTCTCTCAACCATGAATTAAGAGAATGTATGTAGGAGACAATTGTATGTATACAGATAAGTTATATTAAAAAGCTACAGAATAGAGAGGAAGGAAGATCAGAATTAGCAATCTCACTGATAGACCGAAAAGAAAACAAGAATACCCAAACTAAGATAATTTAATCAATTAGCCTTCTGCTTCCAACCACTGCAACCATTTAAAATACACAAATGTAACTCCTTTATTTAAAATTCTGGGGGAAAAAATTCCAAAAGCAATTTTAATAACCTCTGATATTTACCAACCATTAGCTTGGAAAAGTACTCCTTAAATTCCAACTATGCTTTCCTCTTACAATTTGGGTATAGTTATGTGGCCTCTAATAGAAATAGGAGAAAATGAGCCATTATATACACACCACACCAACAATTTATATCAAGATTATGGCCAGGTGTCATTGCTCATACCTGTAATCCCAGCATTTTGGGAGGCCATAGTGGAAGGATAGTTTGAGGCCAGGAGTTTGAGGCCAGTCTAGGCAACACAGAAAGACCCCATCTCTACAAAAGTTTTTAAAAAAAATTAGCCAGGTATGATACTGTGTGCCTGTAGTCCCAGCTAATGGGGAGGCAAGGTGGGAGGATTACTTGAGCCCAGCAGTTGATGCTGCAGTGAGCTATAATCATGCCACTGCACTCTAGCCTGGGCAACAGAAGATGACCCTGTCTCTGAAAAAAAAAAAAAAAAAAACAAAAACGAAGTTTTGAAAAATATTGTTAAACTATGAAAAGTTATTTTGTAACTTAGCTAAAGTTTATAGCTAAAGTCATGTACTTCATCACTTTTTAGCTTATACTGAAACTGAAAACTAAAGAAGTTCAAAAACCAAGATGAATTTAATACCAGTAGTAAAATCTACTTAAAACTAAAAGCTCTACAATTGAAATCTTCTAAATACATTACAGAATAAATGGCCGAAGTTTATTACACTGACTACCAATAAGGCTTAGCATTAAGAATAAGAGATAGTTTAATTTCTTTGACCCAGATTTCTTCCACTTTTAAAAGTCTCTTGCCACAAATCTTTTAATTTCATGTAATAAAATGGGTGACATTTACTTGTTTAAAAAAAATTTAATAACAATATAATCATTATACCTCTGCAATCAGCTGAAGTTCTAAGAAAAAAATGACAATGTTGAAAGTTTTATCATCATTATAAATTTTCATGTTCAGTATATGTAAACTCCAAAGCCAATTTCAAAAGATATTTTTGTGAAATGCCATTCTTAAAAAAAAGAGGACAGTATATATAACTGTATGAATGTCAAATGTTTTACAGGTACAGATTTGCTAAATTTTATGTATGCTATAAAATAAATACCATGTTAAAGTTATTGGCATTCATAATAAATAAATAAATGCTTGAAATATACCCAGTAGAAACTTTTTATTTTCCAATCCTTTTGATAAGAAATGCTTCGAGTGTTATGTACAAACCTGATCTTCTTTGAAAAGTGTTGTCCACTGCTTTTCTGCTTCTGTCACGGTAGCTATAAATAGCTGTTTAAGGATATCCTTATCTAAATTCCTGCCTGCAAACAAAACGAGATATGATGTGATTACATTATGCTTATTAAAATGACACAGTTCACCTATCAATTCCAATTCTTTAAAGCTTTATGATGTTTAGAAATTTACAAAAAGAATAGTAATTGAGTGATTCCATCTTTAACTTTTTAGTTAAGTACATCAAAACCACATTGGTGCTTAGATTAATCACTTTTCTAAAACTGAAACAGAACAAAAGGCCTAACAAGTTCTTATGAATGTTATAACATGATAAAGACTGAAACATTGACCATAAGCTTAGCTATAAAAGAGGATACTGTTTAACTTGGCACATGATATCCCTTTCAAATATATTTATCACTTTGTTTTAGGAGTGTTAATCCTTTGTTACTTACCAATGAGGACCAATCGATTTGTTCTCTCAGTGTCATCCTTCCAGTTCACTGGAGTCTCTTCCAGATCATAGAGCTCATGGACACCCTGGACAATCACTTGTTGTGGTTTGTCTTTGATTGACACCAATCCCTGCTCAAAGAGAATTGACTGAACATTAATCAGCCTCAGCTCAAACTTAAAAGCAGAAATAGAGCATCAATGTTAATGGATTAATTATTTATATCCATTTAAAAATACAAACTCTTAAGCTGAGAAAATTACTTAATTCCAATTATTCGTGAATTATAAAAAGTTTCTTAAAATTTTCAGTTTTCAAAAAGGTTTCTGTGTACTGATTTTTTTGAACAACCCCTTTTTCTAATGATAAAGTGAATACATATATTAGGATGGTCTGTCACTGTTATTTATCACAATCAAAATCTGAAACAAAATATGTAATGTATTATATCCTATTGATTATTTTAAAGATTTTATATAGTGTTTCACAGTGTTAGTGGGAAAAGTTGAGAAGTTAAAGGATTTTGGTGATATTAAATAATCTGTTTTAGAAATAGGTTGCAATCAATGGACAATGATGAAATAAAGAAAAACTACTATAGCTATCTGAATAAAAGCTCATTTTGTATTGATTTGCAGCAATGAGAAACAAATTATCTGATAAACTGGCTCCTATGGGGATGAAATTAATTTCTTTGCAATCATGTTTTTAATATACCAAAAACTTTGTGGACACACAAGAGTGGACACTCAACTGCTGACTGGTTAAGCAAACACCTAGAACCACTGCTTCCTGGAGGAGACACCTTTCATGACATAAATACCCAAATATCAAGTCATATGAGTGGGTTTCTAAATACAGAACAAGAGTTCTAGTCCTTTGTAACTTTGTTTAGAGTATGACAAATGTTTAGTGTCTGCTAAATGCATCAGGAAGCATGATGTTCAGCAGCAGCAAGATTTGCAACATTATTTTTCTGTACCTGGGAATACAGAGCAGAAGGTGACATTTCAAAGCATATCGGTTGTTCTATCTGCAACCCTAAAGGAAGCTGTGCAAATAAATCATGTCTTATGCAGCGATTTCCAAAGCTCCTTTTCAGCAATGAAAATAATAAAGAAAAATGAAAGTACACAAAGATTATTTGTACTAAAATCAGTGTTTCTGTTTAAAACCAAATATAGTTTTTATAACAGCCAGGAAAAGGACTTTGTCTAAAAGTCTACTGTACCTTTAGCCTTATGACCTCCATGCAGTGATTGTCCTTGTTTCTCACAGTCTTTTCCCACAGGAGATTCTGTATCAAGTGACATATTTTAATAAGACCAACCGTTGCTAATAGCAACAACTATGTAACAAAACCTGTTGATAAATCATTAATCAGTAAAAATTGCATTTACCTGAATAAATACATTAAGTTGTTCTTCCTTTGCATTTCCTTGTACTTCAAATGTGACTGTAACAATACTCTGTAAATCAAGAGAAATAATCAATAATAATTCTTTATAGTAATGTCAACATATTTTTTTTAAATCACAAGTTTTAAGATGAAAAGGAACATATTCATGGAATTTTACATTGCCTAAGCCATATATATTAGGTATATTTTTCTCAACATATATGCTGTTTTTATGGAATTAGCAACTCGATTTCCTACATTCTGCAGAAGTGATCAATGGGTTTAGTGTTTACACAAAATACTACCTTCTATTTTAAAAAATTTAGTCAAAAACCCTCATGAAAGGGTCGTCATTATTTAACTCATTCTTTTGTGGATTCTCAGCAATAAGAATGACTGTAACACATACAGTGTATGACTACACGGAGCCAGGTACTTTTGCCTGAGTCACCTCATTTCATCTTTTCACTTACTCGTTACAACAATCCTGGGGAACAAAGATCTCTATTTCCATATAAATTGGGGAAAATAAGGCTAAAAAAATAAGCTAACCAGAGCCAGGAATAAAACTCAAAAGCAAAGTAAATTTGTTCTCTTAAAAACATATACAAAAGAAAGCCTTGGCTTATCTCTAACTGAATAAGCGTGTGCCAAGAGAAGAGTTCTTGGAGATGAGAATGATAGGATAATGCCCTCTTTGGCTTTAGTATGGGCGATATCACCATGTATAGAGTATTAACGTTAGGATTTATTTTTCTTCCTTATCTTGATAAATGTCTCACTGTCTACCCTAAAGAAACATAAGCTTAACATTTCCTCTAACAGGTTACATAATTAAAACCCAAACCTCCCTTTGCCAATATAACTACAATTTCAAACTCAGAGAGAACATAAACAAGGGCTAAGTACATTATAAAAACTATAAACCTCATCTTGAGAAATAGAGGCTCAAAAGCCAAGCTCAAAATGACTTTTAAAAATGTAGAAAAGAATATACTACAGCACAGCTTTACATAATCTCCTAGAACCACATATCTGGCCTAACAATTTTACTCACCATTACATAATCGTATAGGCTTACAGTAGAAAATACCAAAAAACCAGAACTATTTTATAATCCAAATTTACAGAATACCAAAAGGCAAGTATTAAAGACCAATTTAAGCACAAACATATGAAACATTTATTTACTATCATAGGTTCCCCAATAACCTATGGAAATAAATAAACAAATGTCTTGTATGTTTGTGCTTAAATAAATAAATGTCTCATATGTTTGTGTTGGTTAACTTCTTTAGTGGTGATGTGTGAGATTTTGGTGCACTCATCACCTGAGCAGTATACACTGCACCCAATTTGTAGTCTTTTATCCCTACCCCCTTCCCATTCCCCGAGTCCCCAGAGTCCATTGTGTCAGTCTTATGCCTTTGCATCCTCATAGCTTAGCTCCCACTTATGAGAACACAACGATGTTTGGTTTTCCATTCCTGAGTTACCTCACTTAAAATAACGGACTCCAATCTCATCCAGGTCAATGCAGATACCATTCATTCATTCCTTTTTTGTGGGTGAGTAGTATTCCACTGTATACATATACCACAGTTTCCTTATCTACTCATTGACTGATGGGCATTCGGGTTGGTTCCATGTTTTTGCAATTGCAAATTGTGCTGCTATAAACATGCGTGTGCAAGTATCTTTTTCATAGGACTTATTTTCCTCTGGGTGGATATCCAGTAGTGACATTGCTGGATCAAATGATACTTCTACTTTTAGTTCTTTAAGGAATCTCCACACTGTTTTCCATAGTGGTTGTACTAGTTTACATTCCCACCAGCAGTGTAGAAGTGTTCCCTGTTCACTGCATCCACGACAATATCTACTATTTTTTGAATATGGCTGTTCTTGCAGAAATAAGGTGGTATCACACTGTGGTTTTGATTTGCATTTCCCTGATTATTAGTGATTAGTGATGTTGAGCATTTTTTATATGTTTATTGGTCATTTGTATATCTTCTTTTAAGAACTGTCTATTCACGTTCTTAACCCACTTTTTGAAGGGATTTTTTTTCTTGCTGATTTGTTTGAATTCATTCTAGATTCTGGATATTTGTCCTTTGTCAGATGTATAGATTGTGAAAGAGTTTCTCCTACTTTGCAGGTTGTCTGTTTCTGACTGTTCTTTTGCCATGCAAAAGCTCTTCAGTTTAATTAAGTCCCAGCTATTTATATGTTTTCACTGTATTTGCTTTGGGGTTCTTGGTCATGAAATCCTTGTCTAAGCCAATGTCTAGAAGGATTTTTCCAATGTTATCTTCTAGAATTTTGATAGGTTCAGGTCTTAGATTTAAGTCTTTAATCTATCTTGAGTTGATTTTTATAAACACTGAAAGATGAGAGGATCCAGTTTCATTCTCCTACATGTGGCTAGCCAATCATCCCAGCACCATTTGTTGAAAAGTGTGTCCTTTCCCCGCTTTATGTTTTTGCTTGCTTTGTTGAAGATTAGTTGGCCGTTAAGTATTTGGATTCTCTATGGTGTTGCACTGGTCTATGTGCCTAGTTTTATAACAGTATCATGCTATTTGGGTGACAATGGCCTTATAGTATAGTGTGAAATCAGGTAATGTGATACCTCCGGATTTGTTCTTTTTGCTTAGTCTTGCTTTGGCTATGTGTATGTGTATGTGAAACTATCCCTGCATCAGTGGTACAAAACCCCTTGATCATGGTGGATTATCTTTTTGATATGTTGTTAGATAAGGTTAGCTAGTATTTTGTTAAGGATTTTAGCATCTATGTTCATCAGGGATATTGGTCTGTAGTTTTCTTTGGTTATGTCCTTTCCTTGTTTTGTTATTAGGGTGATACTGGCTTCATAGAATGATTCAGGAAGGGTTCCCTCTTTATCTTGTGGAATAGTGTCTATAGGATTGGTACCGATTCTCCTTTGAATATCTGGTAGAATTCTATTGTGAATCCATCTAGTCCTGAACATTTTTTGTTGGTAATTTTTAAATTACTATTTCATGTTATTACCAATAACTGCTTGTTATTGGTCTATTCAGGGTAGCTAATTCTTCCTGATTTAAGCTAGGAGGGTTGTTTCTTTCCAGGAATTTATCCCTCTCTTCTAGGTTTTCTAGTTTTTGCACACAAAGATGTTCATAGTAACCTTGAATGATCTTTTGTATTTCTGTGGTTTCCATTGTAATATCTCCTGTTTCATTTCTTATTGAGCTTATTTGGATTTTCTCTCTTTTCTTGGTTAATCTTGCTAATGGTCTATCAATTTTATTTACCTTTTCAAAAAACCAGCTTTTTGTTTCACTTATCTTTTGTATTTTTTGTTTGTTTCAATTTCATTTAGTTCTGCTCTGATCTTGGTTACTTCCTTTCTTCTACTGGGTTTGTTCTTGTTTCTCTAGATCCTTGAGGTGTGACCTTAGACTATCTGTTTGTGCTCTTTCCGATTTTTCGATATAGGCCATTAAGGCTATGAATTTTCTGTATATATCTGTTAAGTCCATTAATGTTCCAGGATATAGTTTAAATCCATTGTTTCTTTGTTGACTTTCTATCTTGATGACCTGGCTAGTGCTGTCAGTGGAGTACTGAAGTCTCTCACTATGACTGTGTTGCTGTCTGTCTCATTTCTTAGGTCTATTAGTAATTGTTTTATAAATTTGGGAGCTCCAATGTTAGATGCATGTATGTTTAGGATTGTGATATTTTCCTTTTGGACAAGGCCTTTTATCATTTCTTGCCCCTCTTTGACATTTTTAACTACAGTTTAAGGTTTGTTCTGTCTAAGAATAGCTACTCCTGCTCACATTTGGTGTCCATTTACATGAAATGTCTTATTCCACCCCTTTACCTTAAGTTTATGTGAGTCCTTATGTGTTAGGTGAAGACAACAGACAGTTGGCTGGCAAATTCTTAACCACTCTGCAATTCTGTATCTTTTAAGTGGAACATTTAGGCCATTTATATTGAATGTTAGTATTGAAATGTGAGGCTTCATTCCATTCATCATGCTATTTGCTGCCTGTATATACCTTGCTTGTTTTTTTAATTGTATTTTTGTTCTATAGGTCCTGTGACATTTATGCTTTAAAGAGGTCCTGTTTTGAAGTGTTTGCAGGATTTGTTTCAAGATTTAGAGCTCCTTTTAGCAGTTCTTATACTGGTGGCTTGGTAGTGGTGAATTCTCTGTTTGTCTGAGAAAGACTGTATCTTGCCTTGATATATGAAGCTTAGTTTTGCTGAATACAAAATTCTTGGCTGATAATGGTTTTGCTTGAGGAGGCTAAAGAAAGGGCCCTAATCCCTTCTGGCTTTCAGGGTTTCTGCTAAAAAATCTGCTGTTAATCTGATGAGTTTTTCCTTTATAGGTTACCTGGTGTTTTGGTTCACAGTTCTTAAGATTCCTTCTTTCATCTTAACTTTAGATAATCTGATGACAATGTGCCTAGGCAATGATCTTTTTGCGATGAATTTCCCAGGTGTTCTTTGTGCTTCTTGTATTTGGATGTCTAGGTCTCTAGCAAGGCTGGGGAAGTTTTCCTCAATTATTCCCCCAAATATGTTTTACAAACTTTTAGATTCCTCTTCTTCCTCAGGAACACCGATTAGTCTTAGGTTTGGTTGTTTACTTCCTGGATTTCTTGGAGGCTTTGTTCATATTTTCATATTCTTCTTTGTCTTTGTTGGATTGGGTTAAAGTCCTTGTCTTCAAGCTCTGAATTTCTTTCTTCTACTTGTTTGATTCTATTGTTGAGACTTTCCAGAACATTTTGGATTTCTATTTGTCCATTGTTTCCTAAAGTTTTGATTGTTTTTATTTATGCTATCTAGTTCATTGACTATTTCTCCCTTCATTTCTTGTATCCCTTTTTTGATATCCTTACAATGGGCTTTGCCTTTCTCTGGTGCCTCCCTGATTGGCTTAATAACTAACCTAGTGAATCCTTTTTCAGGTAAGTCAGGGATTTCTTCTTGGTTTGGATCCATTGCTGATGAACTAGTGTGATTTTTTTGGAGGTGTTAAAGAACGTTATTTTGTCATAT